AATTAACCAAATTGTGTGAGAGTTAAAATTTTAAATTATGACCCGATCGTGGATAATTTTGAATTTTTGTTTATAAGTAGAAATCGAGCTCCAGATTACAATGATGTTATTCCATTTCTTGCGGAAGTCCATAACTCCTTAGATAATAAGTTGTAGAATTTTGTAAAAAGTTGTAGATTTTTTACGCTTTTTAAATCATAATTGAAGCAAATTGACAATTAGGTAAAATGTTGCTTTTTTTGCCAATAGTCGGCACGAGTTTCCAATAGCCGGCATGTCGTATTGTAATTGAAGAAAAATGGTATAGTTAACTGATTTTTTTTTATTATTTTCTTAAATAAATGGTTATTAAAATACTTTTCTTTCTTTGTTGAGCCAAAAAAGTAAAACTAATTGATTTATTTTATGAAAATATTACAATTATAAATTTTGCTGCCGGCTTTAGGAAACAGTTATTCAATACTCGGCATGTCTTATACACTTACATTATAAGTTAAAAATGTTTGTGAATAAAACCATGCCTAATATTGTGTAAACCCACTCAAAATTGATTTTTTTATAAATGAATCAGCTTTTAGAATATTTATTTAACATTTATCCCAATATTGAGCCAAAATGATTGAAAATGTGTTTATTTATCAACCATATGCAGACTATAGGAAAATTGTATTTTTTTGTTCCTAAGGGTGATATCCATAAAATTATGGAAGGGTGGCATTCCTTACAATTATGAAGAAAATCCGGGTGAAAAATATATAATTTTAATAAAGTTACGGGTCTTTTAAAATCGGCATTCTCACTAATTTATTCTTAAGAAACATGCACTGTCGCTAGTGGTGAAAGAACTTAAACGGTTTAATAGATTAACTTAGATTTATGAAATTTTACACAGAGATAGTTGGCAATATTATTGAATTTAATACAGTTTCATATTTAGTGAAAGGATCGGCATCAGTTGTATTGAACTTCAAATAACTAAAAATATTTGAAGTTCAATACAACTGATGCCGAGTACTGGTGAATTGAATTGCGTGAATTTTTAAAAATAATGTTAAATGGTTTGGAATTTAAAAAAAATATATATTTTTAATCTTATTAAAAAAATAGTATTTAAAAAAAAATTGAGGTATTATAAATATGGTTTTTCTATGTTACAAAAATGTGCATGCATATTAAAAGCGTATATTTTTCAAAATTTAGAGTCGTATTAAAATGCGTTGATTTTTTAATAATTTTTGAGTCATAGATATAAAAAAGCGTGGATTTTAAAATTTGTTATCATATTGGATTTTAAGATTTTTTTAAAATAATTTACCGATCATATTATAATGCGTGTGTGTGTGTGTTTTTTTTTTTAATATTTTTTGAGCCAAAACTTAAACTACTTACTACTACTAATTAGTAGTGTATTTTTATACCCCTCACCACACTGTGGTACAGGGTATTATGTCTTTGTGCATATGTTTGTAACAGGCAAAAGGAAACGAGATAGACACATGGTTCCTTTTGAGAACATGAATAGAATCACTTTTTAATCACGTCTGTCCATGTTAAATTGTAAACAAAGTACAAGTCGCATTTTTGATTCGAATTGGATGAAATTTGGCACAGCCCTTTTATTTGGCCAAGGACGAACCCTATTGAAATTGGAAAAAATCGGTTCAGATTTAGATATAGCTCCCATATATATTTTCGTCCGATTTTAAGCAAATAATGCACCAAAGTCCCTGTATATCCATCGGTTTTCACGAAATTTGGCATAACATACTGAATTAAGCCTAGAAACGATGTGTGTTGAATTTCGGTTCAGATTTAGATATAGCTCCAATATATTTTTTAGTCCGATTTTATGTAAATGGTGCACCAAACTTCTAATGTTTGTCCGATTAGCACGAAAATTTGTACAAAGTATCAAATTGAGACTTGAATGACTTTATTGTGTTTTGTTGAAATTGGTGCATATGTAGTCATAGCTTCCATATGTGTTTCTAACGAGTGCATGATTGAGATAAAATTTTTAACAGTGCGACGTACCGAATATCGTGTATCAATTTTGCTATACATAGTTTTCTATAAATTTGTCCCATGGTACGCAGACGACTCTAAATCTGAAATTAAATTTAGCATAGGTTTCAGAAAGGCATGAGTATGTTCCTTCGAGGGAACATTGGCATGCAATTTTAAGGGTACATATGTACAATACACCCAATGTGGTGAAGTCGGCCCAGTCCGACTTTATTACTTTCCTTACTGATTAAAAATATCTGGTTCTCGTATGAACTAGGATTATTGACATCGCTCAAAAAAACGGCTATTTTTACCACAAACTAAGTTAAAAATAGTGAAGATGGCAATAAATCGACTATACATTGAAGAGTTCTTGAGATTTTCACTTGAAATGTTGTAGGAACATTCCTGAATTTGTTTAGATTCGAAAAAACTAAATAATAAAACTAAATAAAAACTTAAGGCAGTATTGGGTAAAATTTTGAAGCGGTTGATGTTACCTTCTATCAGCGGAATGAGGATTAAAATTTTACTAGAGCTACTAATTGAATATACATATGTTAAGAGTAGTATCTTATTTCAGGTACAAATCAAAATTTCCTATCATAATGTTTTTTTTTTTTTTGAAAATTCAACCACCTGACATCACTTCTAACTATAAGTCTCCTAATATACATCATGACCACATGTATGAAATGCAAACATTCTCCACCACACTACCACCACCGCTGCCGGTATCATCAACATTATTATTCTTATCAGTCTGTCAGTCAATGAATTCGATTTTACACCTTTAATTTTATTGCAATTACATTTCGCTTATATTAGACTCACACCTCCTACCCCTCTCTCTCTCGTTATCTATAGTATTGCCATTTATTTGACAAAGTATTATTACGTTTTTTAAGAGCATCATCTATGAAGGGTATCGTTTGTCTAACATACATAAATATTGGCTAATAAAAACGTGATTAGTTTTGTTGTCTGTTTTGATTGGCACGTCCAATAATAAAATGGAATCTTGATTTTAATAAGTGTCCATGAAATCGAAATTCAATTCTGAATATAAACACAAAATTTAATAGAAATGTATGTTTGGGTTTCCATATTATATCGTGATGTTTTATACCGTCTACTGGTTCATATGGAGCTTAGGACCACTTACAAAAAATCCACGTCAACAGATGGTTGAAAATGTTTCTTTAGAAATCAAATCTTACGGGTCCACAGGCTGTTGAAAATTTGTCTTTAAAAATCCACGCTTATAGTTCCACAGATGGTTGAAAATTTGGATTTAGAAATCAATTCTTAAGGGTCCACAGGTGGTTGAAAATTTGTCTTTAAAAAATTCACGCTTATGGGTCCACAAGTTGTTGAAAATTTGTCTTTAAAAAATCCACACTTATGGGTCCACAGATGGTTGAAAATTTGTCTTAAAAAAAAAAAATATTTTATAAATCCGCACCTCATATAGTCATGAAAAAAATATGCAGCCATTGAAAGGAAATTAATAAAAAACCAGTAAGGAAAGTAGTAAAGTCGGACGGGGCCGACTATATGATACCCTTCACCACTTTGGGTATATTCAACCGATGAATCCTAACAGACGTCGCATTTTGAAAGGACCAGTAAAATGAAATTAGATACATAAACATTTCATTCTACAACCGATACTAAATTTTTCATTTGGTCAGATATAGAAGCTATATCTAAATCTGAACCGATTTTCACGAAACGTAACACACATCGTTCTAGTGTATATTCAGTACGCTTTGCCAAATTTCGAGCAAATCGAAAGATGTATAAGGCCTTTGGTGCACCATTTACCTTAAATCGGACGAAACTATATATGGGAGCTGTATTTAAATCTGAACCGATTTTCACAAAACTTAGCACACATAATTCCGGACCTAATTCAGTACTCTATGCCAAATTTCGTGCACATCGAAAGATGTATAAGGCCTTTGGTGCACCATTTACCTTAAATCGGACGAAAATATATATGGGAGCTATATGTAAATCTGAGCCGATTTTCAGGAAACTTGACACACATCATTCTATACTTCATTCATTACGCTGTGCGAAAATTCGTGCAAATCGAAAGATATATAGGGACTTTGTTGGACCATTTACATTAAATCGGACGAAAATATATATGGGAGCTATATCTAAATCTGAACCGATTTTCAGAAAACTTAACACACATCATTCTATGCCTAATTCATTACGCTGTGTCCAATTTCGTGCAAATCGAAAGATATATAGGTACTTTGGTGCCCCATTTACATTAAATCGGACGAAACTATATATGGGAGCTATATCTAAATCTGAACCGATTTTCATGAAACTCAGCACACATCATTCTATGCCTAATTCATTACGCTGTGCCAAATTTCGTGCAAATCGAAAGATATATAGGGACTTTGGTACACCATTTACATAAAATCGGACGAAACTATATATGGGAGCTATATCTAAATCTGAACCGATTTCCATGAAACTCAGCACACATCATTTTATGCCTAATTCATTACTCTGTGCCAAATTTTGTGTAAATCGAAAGATATATAGGGACTTTGGTGCCCCATTTATATTAAATCGGACGAAAATATATATGGGAGCTATATCTAAATCTGAACCGATTTTCCCAATTTCAATAGGGTTCGTCCTTGGGCCAAATAAGTGACCTGTGCCAACTTTCATCCAAATCGGATCATAAATGCGACCTGTACTTTGTTCACAAAAATACATGGACGGACAGACGGACATGCGTAAATCGACTTTGAAAGTGATTCTATGCATATTCTCAAAAGGAACCATGTGTCTATCTCGTTTCCTTTTGCCTGTTACAAACATATGCACAAAGACATAATACCCTGTACCACAGTGTGGTGAAGGGTATAAAAACAATTCTATTATTTTCTTTTGTTTTCACTTTATTACAGTTAAACTAATCAGATCTACACCGCACCGCCCCACATATCAAGCACCATCATCATGTCAGAACCCAATTGTTATTTAGTCTTGCAAGACTCAACCATTTTGCCCGGTCAATATTTTGGCGCTAAGGCACCTGTTGACGGTGAAGTTGTATTTCAAACTGGTATGGTTGGTTATCCCGAATCGATGACCGATCGTTCATATCGTGCACAAATATTGGTACTCACCTATCCCCTGATTGGTAACTACGGTGTGCCCGATTTTAATGAAAAAGATGAGCATGGCTTGCCGAAACATTTCGAATGGCTCGAGGGCATTTCCATCGCGGCCTTAGTTGTGGGTGAGGTGTGTGAACAACCTTCACATTGGCGTGCCAAAGAAACTCTTTCCAAATGGATGGAATCTCATGGTGTACCCGGTATAAGTGGCATCGATACCCGAGCCTTGACAAAGAAAATACGTGAAAATGGTTCCATTTTGGGTCGTATTGTCTATGAATATCCGGAAAATATTAAAGAATTGCAATTTGCCGATCCAAATAGTCGTAATTTGGTTGCCGAGTGTTCAGTGAAGCAGCCAATGATCTTCAATGAGGGCGGTTCACCACGCATCTGTGCCATTGATTGTGGTTTGAAATTGAATCAAATTAAATGTTTTGTATCGCGTGGTGCCCGTGTCGAATTGGTACCATGGAATCATAATTTGGATGAATCCACTTTTGATGGTTTATTCATTTCCAATGGTCCTGGTGATCCGGTGGTGTGCAAAGACACCGTGGTGCAGGTTCAGAAAATTTTGAAATCTGGTAAGAAACCCATATTTGGTATCTGTTTGGGTCATCAATTGCTATCGACGGCCATTGGGTGTAAGACCTATAAAATGAAATATGGCAATCGTGGTCACAACTTGCCATGTATACATCATGGTACTGGGCGGTGTTTTATGACCTCACAGAATCATGGTTTTGCTGTTGACACGGAAACGTTGCCGGCCGAGTGGGAGCCATTGTTTACCAATGCCAATGACAATACAAATGAGGGTGAGTCAATGAGAATTTAATATAAATAAAATCAAATTTTTGAAATATATATTTTTTTGCAGGTATTATCCACAAGGACAAACCCTATTTCTCGGTACAATTCCATCCGGAGCACACCGCCGGTCCTGAAGATTTGGAATTGTTGTTCGATGTCTTCCTGGATGCCATCAAGACACCGGCAAATACCGTTAGCCTACGCCAACAATTAATACAACGTCTTATGTATACGCCTAAACCAGAATCCTTGTTGGAGAAGAGACCCCGCAAAGTATTGATTTTGGGTTCCGGTGGTTTATCCATTGGCCAGGCTGGTGAATTTGATTATTCCGGTTCCCAGGCCATTAAGGCAATGAAAGAGGAGAAAATCCAAACAGTCTTGATTAATCCCAATATTGCGACGGTGCAAACCTCCAAAGGTTTGGCTGACAAATGTTATTTCCTTCCTTTGACACCTGAATATGTTGAAGATGTCATCAAGGCCGAGCGTCCCAATGGGGTGCTATTGACATTTGGTGGTCAAACTGCCTTAAATTGTGGTGTGGAGCTGGAACGGTCTGGTGTCTTTGCCAAATATAATGTTAAGATTTTGGGTACTCCCATTAAATCGATTATTGAAACAGAGGATCGTAAAATCTTTGCCGAACGGGTAAATGAAATTGGTGAAAAGGTGGCACCCTCAGAGGCTGTTTACTCCGTAGAGGAGGCTCTTATGGCTGCCAAACGTATTGGTTATCCAGTAATGGCTCGTGCCGCCTTCTCTTTGGGTGGTTTGGGTTCTGGATTTGCTGACAACGAAGAAGAATTAGAAACCTTGGCCAAGCATGCCTTGGCCCATTCCAGCCAGCTGATTATTGACAAATCCCTAAAGGGTTGGAAGGAGGTGGAATATGAAGTGGTGCGTGATGCCTTTGACAATTGCATTACTGTGTGTAATATGGAAAATTTGGATCCTTTGGGTATTCACACCGGTGAGAGTATTGTGGTGGCTCCATCGCAAACTTTGAACAACAAGGAATATAATATGCTGAGAAGTACAGCCTTGAAAGTGATAAGACATTTTGGTGTGGTCGGTGAATGTAACATACAATATGCATTGAATCCTTATTCGGAGGAATACTACATTATTGAAGTGAATGCCCGCTTGTCGCGTAGTTCCGCCTTGGCCAGCAAGGCCACCGGCTATCCTTTGGCTTATGTGGCTGCCAAGTTGTCATTGGGTGTTGCATTGCCTTCGATTAAAAACTCCGTAACCGGTGTAACCACTGCCTGCTTTGAACCTTCTTTGGATTATTGTGTGGTGAAAATTCCACGCTGGGATTTGGCCAAATTCATTAGGGTCAGCAAAAATATTGGCAGCTCCATGAAAAGTGTGGGTGAAGTTATGGCAATTGGTCGCAATTTCGAGGAGGCATTCCAAAAGGCTTTACGTATGGTGGATAATGCTGTGACCGGTTTTGATCCCTATTTGCAAAAGGTCAACAACGACGAGTTGAAGGAACCCACCGATAAGAGGCCATTTGTTTTGGCTGCTGCCCTAAAAGCCAATTACACCGTAGATGAGTTACACTCCCTAACGAAAATCGATCGTTGGTTTTTGAATAAAATGAAAAATATTATTGAATTCTATAAGGAAATTGAGGTGTCGGGAAGTTCGTTGAGTAACAGCCAGCTGTTGCAGGCCAAACGTATGGGCTTTTCAGATAAACAATTGGCTGAAGCTATTAAGGTTACGGAATTGGCAATCAGGCAACAGAGAAAGGAGGCTGGCATTTTACCATATGTCAAACAAATCGATACAGTGGCAGGAGAATGGCCAGCTGCCACCAATTATTTGTATCTTACCTACAATGCCTCGGAATATGATATTGAATTCCCTGGAGGTTATACCATTGTGGTCGGTTCAGGTGTCTATCGCATTGGCTCCTCGGTGGAATTTGATTGGTGTGCCGTAGGTTGCCTTAGGGAATTACGCAACTTGGGCAAATCCACCATTATGATCAATTATAATCCCGAAACCGTATCCACCGATTATGATATGTGTGATCGTCTATATTTCGAAGAGATAACCTTTGAAGTTGTTATGGACATCTATGAAATGGAACACTCGGATGGTATTATCCTATCCATGGGTGGTCAATTACCCAACAATATTGCCATGGATTTACATCGTCAACAAGCCAAGGTCTTGGGTACCTCTCCGGAATCTATTGATTCTGCTGAAAATCGTTTCAAATTCTCTCGTATGTTAGATCGCAAAGGCATTTTGCAGCCACGTTGGAAGGAGTTAATCAACCATGAAAGTGCCATACAATTTTGTCACGAAGTTGGTTATCCATGTTTGGTGAGACCTTCATATGTGTTGTCCGGCGCTGCCATGAATGTAGCCTATTCCGATCAAGATCTAATGACATATTTAACAGCTGCCTCACAAGTTAGCAAAGAACACCCTGTGGTCATCTCCAAATTCTTACAAGAAGCTAAGGAAATCGATGTGGATGCCGTTGCTGCTGATGGTGAAATTTTATGTATGGCCGTTTCCGAGCATGTGGAGAATGCCGGTGTTCATTCAGGAGATGCCACATTGGTAACACCACCACAAGATTTAAATGCAGAAACATTGGAAAATATTAAACGTATTACAAGTGATGTGGCGGGATTGTTGGATGTGACGGGTCCCTTTAATATGCAAATTATTGCTAAGAACAACGAACTGAAGGTTATTGAATGTAATGTCCGTGTATCACGTTCCTTCCCATTTGTGTCGAAAACTTTGAATCATGATTTTGTGGCCACTGCAACGAGGGCTATTGTTGGCCTTCCCGTCGAACCTGTCGATGTTTTACATGGTGTCGGCAAGGTTGGTGTCAAGGTACCACAATTCAGTTTTTCACGTTTGGCTGGTGCTGATGTCCAATTGGGTGTTGAAATGTCTTCGACGGGAGAGGTTGCTTGTTTCGGTGATAATCGTTATGAGGCCTATTTGAAGGGTATGATGTCAACGGGTTTCCAAATTCCCAAGAAGGCTATTTTACTATCTATTGGAAGTTTCAAGGTGAGTTAATGGAATATTTTGAAAATGAAAAATGTAAATATTTTTTATTTTCAAATTTTACAGCACAAAATGGAACTATTGCCCTCAATTAGAGATTTGGCCAAGATGGGTTACAAATTATATGCTTCCATGGGTACTGGTGATTTCTATGTGGAACATGGTGTTAATGTAAGTAGAGTCAAATGAATATTTTTAAATTAGATTTCTAGAACTATGTCTTTAACGTGTATAGAGTCGGGAATTAAAAAAAATCAGGGGCAATATAGGTGTGGATTTTCAAAATTGTGTTTTTAAGTTCAAGTCATAGGCGTGGATTTTTTAAAAATATTTTTTAAGGGTTCAACATAGGCGTGGATTTTTTTAAATATATTTTTTAAAGAAAAACAACAATATTTTTTTATAAATAATCACATTTTATTTCCTCCGACTAACTTTCCGAGGATTGATTAAATACACCTTTAAGTTGTAATGTTTTACGTTTTAACATATCACGTATTTGAGCTTTTTTCTCTTCATTGGTTAAATTCTGTATAAACTTATCAGTATTTTGTGATAGATTTTGAAATAATTCAGTGTTACCCAGAGGTGAGGATTTTATAAAATCAGAGGAACTTTTCATTAGTGAGGGGAAGAATTTCGTAGATTCCTTATTGGCATCACATGGTAATGCCGCCGGTGGACTATCAAACTGCTCCTCCTCACCATCATCTCTTTCATTTTCATTGCAATCCGTATCCTCTTGACTTTCACTTCTCTCCACCTTTGATCGTAAAATACTAACAGGACTATAACATTCCGGCTTTTGTATGGGATTTACATCACCCTCCTGGACTTTTATGACAACATTATTAAATTTAATTGATTTTCGTGGTGTTTCTGGGGGACGTAGTACGACGACAATGGGTTGCTCCTCTTCCTCCTCAACAATACTTTCCTTGTCCCATGATGAGGGTTCAGTAGTTTCATTTTCAATATTTTCGGGAACATTTTCCATTCGTTCCCCCATTTCTTCATATAAATTATAGGGTTGTATTTCCTGGAAATTTCTAATGTTCTCGCCCATTTTTTCTTTAAAATCATTACTTGGCACCCGGACAATTGTAGGTGTCGAACTTGATTCGAGACTAATGCGTACCGGTAGTATAGGGGGTGGTGTTGTTGTCAATGGAAAATCTTCCTTATCGCATAGAATTTGCAGTTCTTCATCGAGACTCTGAATTTTATTGAGATATTCTTTGGCACCAATGTCACAACCATAATTATGATAGACCTTACACAGACGCCTCGCCTGTGAGAGATAGGTTTTGGTCACCGGTATTGATTGAAATTCGATAGCTTTTGTGGACATTTCAATTAAATGATCGAGAACAATTTCCAAAATGTTGGTCCGTCTTAGATTTTCAACACCTTGATTGAGCTGTCGCTGATTGGGGTTGTTCAAATCCTTTTTGAAAAAGAACTGTGGAAGGAGAAGAGAAATATTTTTTTATTAGTAGGGATTTTAAAATAGATTTGTTTTTTAAGATTTATTTAAAAAAAATTTCAAGGGCTATACATAGGTGTCGATTTTTTAAAATATTTTTCAATGCCTATGACTGGTGTTTTATTAAATATTTTTAAAATACATTTTTCTTACCTCCACATCAATTGATTCCACAGATCTCCGCTTGGCTACCATTTCCTGCTTTTTTAATTCGATGTTATGACGTAGCAGCTGAGTTTTCCTACGCAATTTACCATTTGTACGAACATGATGTTGTTTCATACCGAGCAGACCTTTGGCACCTTCATCCGGCATCAAACACGTACCCTCCTCATCACCCTCAGCCTGGTTTAAATCCATCAAGGAGCGGGCATTTTTTGCCAATAATTTCAATTTCAACATATCATTCTCCACAAGATTTTCAAAAAGTTTTTTAAAATTTAATTTTGGAAAATATCCTTCGATAAATTCCAAATTACGAAAAGTGATCATTAAATGCATGAGAGGATTTGCCGTAATATCTGCCAATATGGTATAGAGAGTGTTGAGTGAATATTCCGGTATACTTTCGAAGAGATTACGTTCTCGTATAAAATAATCACTGAGATGTTTTTCTCGCACTCGCTGCTTGAAAGAGTCCACAAAACGTATTAGTACCTCTCCTAGAAATTCTTCCGGCCAGGCATTGTAATCCTTTTCACATTCCCAAAATAGGTGGGCTCGTAAATGATCTAAAGCGAACATTAGCGATTTATTTTTCTCCATTGGCTCAACGAAGCATTTGAGTAGGGCCTTGGTGATCATGTAGACCTTAATTTGAGTATTTGTTAAATGTTGTTCCAGGTAACGTTCCGCTTTGGGGAATACAATACGCCATTCAATATCCCGAAATGGGTTACGTTTCTTTTTCGGTGCATAGCCTAGAGGGATGACGTGAAAGCCGAAGGTTTCAATGCGTTTTATCATGGCTCGTGTAGGCCATTGGATCTGTTGTCCCGTTTGGGGGTTTGTGGACAAGGGTCTATCTCTCAAGCGGAACTCGAAAGCACACTTGGGCCACTCATTGACATTCTGGGCGACATAAATTGCCGGAATTAATTCATATTGCTCGGTATAAATGGAACTTCCTCTAAATGTGGCCATATCCAATTCGTTGTCATCGATCTGCAATTGTTGGGCTAACTTCTTGCGCACCAATTCACCAAAATATCTCATAAATTCGCGAGAATTTAGATATTGTTGGGCCAATAGTTTTCTTCGTTTTTCCAATTCTATGCGGTATAGCTTTATTGCCTGCAAGGTATCATAGTCTCGCCAATCTTCCCGTTTCCGATTTTCTTCATCATCGCTGAAATCACTTTCCTCATCTTCTTCTTCATCATCGGTGAACTCATCTTCTTGCAGGGGTTGAACAAAATTTCCCAATGCGGAAATACAAGAATCAGGCAAAACTTTGGCATCCACTTTCTGGCGATCTCGATCATTCGACATTTTCAATTCCTTCAGAGGATGTTGAGTATTTAAGTGTGTAATAAATGCATAATCATAATCATTTTCAGGATCCCGACCCGGTTTTCCACTACCCATAACATTTAGCATGGCTCTACTGCCATATGGACTGGTGGTGCCATAACCCGAACTACCTTCGCTATAAATATCATCATCGTGTGGTGAGGATTTTGAAGCCGCGTTATTTGTATCTTCTCGTAATCTCAGGCGCACATAGCCCTTCCACTTGATATCGCCTAACATCTTAGCATAATCCTCCTTGCAGGGTGTCGTTTCTCGAAAATCCATTTCCATATCAACTTTACAGAGGGGCGATATTGAATCATAATTGGCATCATTCGGCCGTGCTATATCGATATTTTCAAAAACCATATAAATTGTTTGGGTTTGCAGCAACTGGGGGTGGTTTTTATCGGGACCGTGACTGCAAGAAAAATGAAAAAATATTCGATTTTTTTAAATAAAATAAAAATATTCACTTACACTGGTTTATATTTAATCCACTTGGCCACGGCCACATCCAAAGGATTTGTCAGCAATATTGAATGTTCTTCCAAATTTTGATTTAAATCTTTTTCCTGGGTCAGCAAATGTTCGGTGATGTTTGAAAGTTCGCTGGAAAAAAATAAGAATTTAATAAGAAATAAATATTTTTGAAAAATACACCCGAGAAAAAAAAAATATTTTAAAAAATCTAGACCCAAATAAGGGTACTGGAAAAATACTTTAAAAAAATCCATGCCTATATTTAGGCATTGAAAAATATTTGTTAAAAAATCCGCGCCTATATTTATTTCAAAGCATACACTAATGCGTGGATTTTTAAAAAAATATTTCTTCAAAACCGCAAATTGTAGTGGATTTAAAAAAAAATAATAATTCGTTAAGACCGCAGTGGATTTTTATTAATTTTGAACATGTGACTATTATATCGTCCACTTTGCCTTAACCTAACCCAACAATTTTCCACTCGAAACGAGGTATAGGCACAGTTTCTAAATATCCATTGTTTAATTTATTTTAAATTAAAAGCTACTTGTGTTTCAATTGTGATAAGATTTCTTTTACTGTAGCGCGACAAGATACAAATTTGCCGATACTTCTAAATTTCCAAGAAATCCAACAATATAATTAATGAATTCTTTAGAATGTTATTAAAGAACTATATAGCGCAATAACTTGATGAATCACACAGAAGTACTTAAAAATGTTGATTTTTAAACAATATTTTTTGAGAGACCATCTGAGCTTTAAGCGTGGATTTTTTAATGCATACTTTTGGGAGTACCATCTGAACTAGAAGCGTGGAATTTTCAAAAAATATTTTAAGGAGCGCCATCTGAGCTATAATCGTGGATTTTTTTGAAGAATATTTTGGGACGGTGATCTGAGCCATAGAATGTGTATTTTTTAATAATATTTTTGTGAGCGCCATCTGATCTGTAGCCGTAGATTTTTAAAGAATATTTTTAGGAGCAACATCTGAGCTATGAACGTGGATATCTTCGGTAGGGCAATCTGCGATGAAATTGTGAATTTTAAAGAATATTTTATGAGGACTATCTGAAAGAGTTTTTAAAGAATATTTTTCGCAGCACCTTCGAAACCATAAGCGCAGATTATTGAAGAATATTTTTAGGAGGAACTGTTGATTTTTAAAGAATATCTTTGGGTGCACCATTTGGTCTACAAATATTGACTTTAAAGAATAATTTGAGAGGACCAGCGTTGATTTTTTAAAAAATATTTTTGGGAGGACTCTCTGAGCTATAAGCATGGATTTTTAATGCATACTTTTAGGGGTACCATCTGATCTAGAAGAGTGGGATTTTAAAGGTTATTTTTGGGAGGACTATCTGAGGTATAAGCGTGGATTTTTATACCCTTCACCACACTGTGGTACAGGGTATTATGTTTTTGTGCATATGTTTGTAACAGGCAAAAGGATTCGAGATAGACACATGGTTCCTTTTGAGAATATGCATAGAATCACTTTTTATGTTGATTCATGCAAGTCCGTCCGTCCATCTGTCCATGTTAAACTGTAAACAAAGAATATATTTTCGTCCGATTTAAGGAAAATGGTGCACCAAGGTACCTATATATCTTTCGATTTCCACGAAATATGGCATTGCGTACTAAATTAAGTCTAGAGTGATGTGTGTAAAGTTTCGTG